CAGTAGGTCATGACTCATCAATAGCCTTAACACATTTTTGTTGAAGTAAAAGAGCTCTCATTTTCTGGAGTCAGAGACTAAAGTCTCATTTGCCATTAAAAACTTCCATTTCAAACTTTGAAGAAGTCATTTTGTAAAATATGAATGAAATGGATGTATGCAGATCAATCAGACACTAACCAACAACTTGCAATGCATATCAGTCAAGTATCACCACACAAGGGACACTACAGAATATACAGATTGCAAGTATAAAAAGCAAGCATTTCAGAGTTATACCACAATGTACACAATTTAACCAAATCAATACAATCACAATTGTACAGAGGCAAAGTTATATACAGAACTTCAATCAAGACTATATAATATTGCAGAATGATTTTCAGAAATCAAGTATCAAGATTATCAAGAATTTTGACTTTGGTCCAAGTAACCCTCAGATTCCAGACAACTCTTGGTTTCTGGGACAAAGGAATTACAAGGAGTCAATGATTCAGGTTTCAAAAAAAACACAAGTCAGAGAAACTATACATGCAGCAAATATTCAACCTAGACAGAAATACCCAACAGTGGAGTAAACTCAACCAAATAGAAAATCAAACAAGGTAGTATCCAATCGAGTCAGATCACCCAAACTAGTATACAAGCTATTAGCACGTGAGAATACACAAAACTGAAAGATCTCACCAAAGCCCCTTAGTTAGGGTTTCAAGAAATCACGCAGTCTAGCTCAAAGAAGAATTTCAGTGTCAAGATCGAACACCCAACGCATCAAGAACTCTCTCCAGATACTCTGATACCACTGTTGGGAGGAGTTCACAACATTAGCTCACAAGAAATCAACAAATGTAAATGCAAAAATCAAAAACCAAATACTTGATAAATCAGACTTACGTGACTGAAAATAAGAACATCAGAATACCAAACAAATCAGAAATAAAATACTTAGCTTTTATTAAAAAAACCACAAGTTCACAAGTTCTTAAAACTGTGCTTCAATCACACAAGAATGAACCACCAGAATTCTCGAATCAAACCCAAGGTATGAAATACAAAAGGTGACACTCAGACAAGCCCTAGATATTTCATAAAATGAACTCTCTTCACTGATAACACGATTCACTCAAGAATCAGCACTCAATACAAGTAAATCACTCGAGATTATAAGCTATTAAGGGAAAAACAGAAATCAAATGAGATTATTTGATTTCAACAGAGAAGAGAAGAGAGAACTCGAAGAACGGGCAGAAAGCACAAGAAATTGGAAGA